CCAAAAGGTAGTTCTTGGGGGGGGAGGGTTGAGCATATATATATACGTGCACCCTAAACAGCCCGACGTGAAGCTAGATGACCTTTGCGTAGCCGGCCTACCTTTTGTCCGCGCGCCTGCCGCCTGCTGGATGGAGCCTCTCTCGCCACATGCGGCTGTTGAGGAGGCCTCCGGAAAGCATGATCTTAGGTGCCCAGTTTGTAAGGCTTACTGGTGTAAACCTTCCTGTTTGTGGCCATTGGTATTTAGGTATTGCGGAATACGATTAAAATGATTGAAAGACTATCTATCCGCTGGACAGGCAAGCACTAAAGCTTGGATACTGTTCCCCGCTCTATGGCAGCCATACATTCAAGGCATAATGCTAAAACAAACAGATTTCGGACTAGGAAAGAAAGAAACGAGCTGTTGGTGCTGAAGCCCTGCATGGCCCTATTCGCCTTTGACCTTTGGGAGTTGGCTGCTCTGGTAATCTAAAGTCATGCCGAACAAAAATCAACAACCACGTTGCCTTACGGGAGTACCTATGTCCCGGATATTTGGCCCAGTCGGTACTTTGACCCTGCAGGTTAAGCTTGACGAAGATGGAGTCGTCTGGTCTATGTTCTGGTGGCCAATCCAACAAATGACGGGGCTCGTGCCACCAGAGGCCCCCTCTACATAATTATGTCCAAACTACCCATGTCAACTGCGATTCCCCCCAATGTTAGAATGTTACTTGTGTGAGAGCAGCATGGCCTGAGACCCTGAATCAAGCTGCAACCTTATAGCTCTACTGTGCAGCTAAGCCGTCAACGCATGAATGCCGCCTTGGCAACGTTGGCGCAAGAAAATTGCCAGCAGCTTGCATGCCTACACCTGCGCCAGAATTGGAGCAAGAATCTGGTTCTGAAGGGAGCTGACTAGCAGCCTTCCATTGGCTGCATCGACGTTTGGTGATGTTCGACACTATGTTGGTGTGCCATTGCAGGCAACCAGTCCTCTGGAAACAAGGGATGGTGCTTGTTATACCATCCAGTCCCCAGCGATCAAAACAAATTATCGTATGCCTGGCAAAAGTTAAGAAATCCGCAACGGGGAGGGGTCCAAATGGGATCACAGTCAATTCTGTGAATACCCGGTTCGGGACTAGATGAGCTATCCTGAGTATTGCCTTCTTGCCAAATCACCAAATGAACACATACTCCCCTCCCTGTAGTAACTCCTTTGTTCTCCATTACGCGCACGCTTTCCCAAAAACCTGAGGGGTATTCACACAAGCAGGGGTTCCCCCTGTACACCCCAAAAACTGCTGTGATGCCCCCTGTAACTGAATGTAAACTACGTATACCATGTAGTTCTACACAGCCCTTACCAATCCTTTAAAGAACCACTGGCTCTTGGGAAAAAAAGCCTAAACCCTAAACCTTAAACCCCTAAACTCCTAAACCCCTAAACCCTAAACAAGCACAGGGTCACTGATGCCTTGTGCGCCCGCATGCGACGCACGACTGGCGGCTAAGGCTCCCAGCCATGCTTTGAGCCCCGCCGGCAGGGTATGTGATGGGATTATATAGGGATTATAGGGTATGTAATGGGGCTTTATAGGGATTATAGAGTACATGATGGGGTTATATAGGGATTATAGGGTACATCATGGGGCTTTGTAGGGATTAGGAGTTTCCGAACTTCAGAGTCACCTTAGGGGGGGGGGGGTGGGTATCCGGCCATAACGCATTTATAGGGGCATGCAGGGTAGGGCTCGAGTTCTGCTTGGGAGGTCCCCATAAGGACTCAGGTATCTGGGGGGGCGCACATAAGCGGATCCTGACATTAATATTGCAGATGCCCAGTTTCCAAAAAAGGTCAGGTAATTCTTTGAGGTTTCTGTTGGCCTCATGTCACCGTTGAAGCACGGCTGTCTCTTATGACTGGCTGCATTGGGTTGTGATGACCATGGCAGTGCTCATGGTAGAGACTTGTCGACATCAGTGAAAAACAGGGAGCTCGTGAGAATCCAAGAAATCTATTATGGGGGCCATCCGGGCCCTGCACAAAGAGATTATAACAGTTCCTGACAAGGATCCTATAGAATCAAAGGAATAGTCATTAGCGGCATCCATGCACATAGATCTGAGAACCAGGCGCTTTCCAAAGAGACCTGAAGTGAAGAGCTTCTGAAAATGCATTAGGTTTCATGGCTGTTGCTTGCGACATCTAGCAACCTCCGGAACTCTGGATCTGTAGTCCCCCTTAAGTAGATAGAACATGGCTTTGGGTATATTATCTTAGATGAAAATAAGATCCCCATATACCCCATGTTCCATCTACGTAAGGGGGACAATAGTCTTCTCAGGAATATGTGTTTCTTTCGAGGCGTCTGGAAATGCTTGTTGCCCGAAACCACGGCTTGGCGGTTCAAGGTCGACTTCACGGTTGCACTGCGATAGCAGTGTTTCCAAACATATGGTATGGGGCTTGTGAGTCTATGCTCATCTGACCGTTGTGCTCTGGCAGGCCATCCCAGACTTCTTCACAAGAGATGACTGAGCCCCCTGGCCATCTCGTTGAAAGACACCAGCTCGCCTGGATCTCATGATGTAGAACCCATTGTAAGCTTTATCTTTAACAGCCTAGACACGACCGCTAGTGCCAAGCCTTGTCATGTTGAGATCCCTTTTCCGGGGGCAGAATTCTTGAAAGCGTTTGCGGGCACGGCATCATCAAATGTGGTGGCCAGCTAATTGACTCCGACATGCCGCTGGTCCGTGATAACATAACATATAACGGGGCCCCAAGACTTTCAATCTACAAGTAGTTTAGCTTACCACTGTCATTGACCAAAGATGCTCTGATGTTCGAGAAAGCGACGGGAAGGAATGTGCTCCCACTGTTGCAAATAAAAAATGCATGTGGATAAGCCATGGCTGTGGCCATCAATGACTTGAGAAGACCCCGATTCTACCCGTATACGGCCTATTGCACCAAGTGGGAAGAAACTAACATATAAAGGAGTCCTGAAGGGTTTCGGACCTACTGTAACACTCGTTACTAGCAAATGTTGGGGAACACATTGCTGTTTTTGTTCGCACGCTTGCATTTCCGGACTTCTGCCCTTGTTGCCGAGGATACAGCGTGTATCATGTAGCAGGGGTTCTGGCGTGTTTCTCGTCTAGCAGCTGAGATTGGTTGCGGATGGGGACCTGCACAATTAGCCTGGGTTGAAATTTTAGTCGTTATAAGTCGTTCGTTTCATAGCTCTTCCGCTTACAAGAATTCAGACTGATTATGCAAACCACAGTATAGAGGTCTCGCGGCTTAGTGCAGACATTGGGCCAGGAGCTACCGCGAGCCTTGTGTCCGGTGCGAGAAGAAGGGGTTCACCTGCAAGCTGGCTTTTTTGCACGCACCGCGTTGGGTCAGTCGGGAGGCTGATGTGGGAGCAGAAATAATGTGGAGGATATAATTAAGGCGTAGAGTAGAAAGAAAACGCAATGGTAGTTATTCAGGCTTCTGTATTTCCTTGCACCGCGTCACATAGTCCAAAGTGAAGAGCTCAGAGGCGGCCCCATATTACGTTGATTCGCGACAAACAAAAAAGCTCAGCCGCAGAAATTCTAACCCTCAATGAGCATTTGTGGATACTGTGCAGAGTCGCTGCCATCTTGACATGACTCTTTATGACTTGAAGTCAGGTTCCCTGCGCTGCCAGCTAGGGAGCAAGCAGTCAACCACGATGCCATGGTTCCATCCTGGTATAGCAAGTAATTATCGAAAAATACAAGAATCTCGTGATATCTCTGTATTACGGAGTCCGGCCTCCCTATAAAGCACCAACCGTAATCAGAAATGTTGGCGACCGTTCGGGGAAGTTCTGATGCGAGGGGAACGCGAGTGAGTAAGGCGCATTTTTATCCGCATAGTGAAGCTTCGGTGGCCGGTACTTATCAATGTGCATCGGGATCTCTCAATTGGTCATGCAGGGATTCTAGAGAGGTTTGAAAAGGGATTTTGCATGTTTGGACTGTGTTAAGGCTGTTGAATATCTGAAGGCTCCTTCCGCAAGGGTCCGCGCAGGCTGAACAGGAATTAAATTCGAGATATGCAGCATCAGTGTCATGCAGCATTTATGGCAGGCCACCCTGAAACACAAGAAGCCTTACATATCCTTGTCATGGGGAGCCCCAACCAGGGACCCCAAAATGCTCAAAACTGCTATATGCAGCGAACTGCTTTCCTACCTGTGAGGAGCCTAAAAGAGTGACTTGCAAAAGAATCTGTTGTGGAGATCAGCTCAAAGGGTCCATGTAGCTGTATATGGTAAAGTACCTAAATAGAACACCCTCTGGTCCATGTAGAAAGGTACGATCCTGGAACCCTTGCTGCACCATCGTTCCAAAACTTTGACCAGACCAGTCCACACCTGTAGCTCTGCCCCCACTTCCCTACCGTTTGAGAGCTCTTCCATTTCACTACTTACAGGGTTCAGACTACTAGGAAAAGGGACTGACTACCTGATGAGGCTTGAGGAAATCAAATGTCGACAACCTGGCATCAAGTCTACAATCCATTTACATTCCAGTTGATGGCAAGGTTTCAGGGCTTGAGACTAAACAGCCTTTCCTATGAATTGCGTGGACTTCTTCATTCTTGATTCGACTTATTTGACATCGTTGGATGAATTCACAAAAAGCACATACTACGTGCTTTCGCTTGCCGGTTGCCTTTCAAGCGAGCCTTTCTGAGAACAGTCGAGAGTCCGCACGTCCAAATCCCCCCTCTGCTCTTTACATGGCCTGGGTGCGTGCCAAGCATCCCTCGAAATTCAACATGGCATGCCCGCTCTCGGGATGCTATACTCTGGGTCTTCAGACTGGGACAGTCACACAGACCGAGGGCCACGTTCAGATTTTCTGCTGACCCTGCCCACTTGCAAGTCCAAACCCTACAGTACGGAACCCGATTCCCCCAAACTAAATCTAAGTCACATGGGACCACAAAAATATACCTGAAGAATGCTACGCCTTTTTAAAGAGGGGTTTCCGATCAATACGCTGAGTGACTCCAGCTGCTACAGTCCCACCTGGAGTTCGACTCGTCGCGAAGTCGCCTGCTCTTGGGCCGAGGCTTTGGCACGGACCTTGCAAGGCTTCGGGACACCAAGGGCCCAAGGGGCGACAGGGCTTCCCCTGATTTGCCCAGGAAACCTGTAACCCATTCTACAGGACTACGGGGCTTATAGAAGGGATCCCTCATTCTTGGCATGCGCTAAGAGCCTCTCAAAGAATGCTCCTAGCTGTTCTGATTTCGAGGCTAGTGTAGCGTTCTTGCGTATGCTTTCAACGTGTTGAATGCCAGTGCCACTTCCGCACAAAGACAAACCCAGACCCATTTCTCAACCAAAGGGAAGTTTGCTAAAAATGATTGTGATTCGGGTTCATGTGTAAAATTGTTGCGGGTGTTCAGACCACATGGAGGAGGGTCACTCTCAAAACGAAAAGACACCTTGAGCTCGCAATCCTATCACAACCCTGAAGCAAGACCTCCAATCGACCTAACCAAGGAGCAACTTGAAACCCATGCAACCAAGCATGTTCCATGTCCAAGGGCGCGACACCAATATACATGCCGGTGCGGATGTGTTGCCTGGCAGCATTTAGCAATCAGCCCTGGGACCCGTGAATATTGTGAGGTTTGCTCAAAAAATGGGAGATGGGGGGGGCTACATGTTCATGGAGATCACAAGGTGAGCTCCCATTCTCAGAGCCGGTTCAACAATACTGTCATCGACATCGCATCAGTATGGTCATCGAACCAATGCTAACTCGCCAACGCAGATATTGCACCGTATCGACATCGAATTGCTATCCA